CAAAATTTTAGGTTGATGTGGGTGGTTGTCAGGGCATTGTTATGCTGTTGCTAAGGTGTTGCGAGGTGCTTGCTAGGGTATTGCTAGGTGATTTACTTTCCCATATAAAAAAGCCCACCAAAATATGAATGATGCTTGCCCATGCATAAATTGGTGTTGCTAGGCAGTTGCTAAGACATTGCCAAGCCAATGTGAAAGCTACCTTCACAATGCTATGCTAATTTTGGTGTTTGCCAGGTTGTTCTGTTGTTGCTATAGTTTCCTAGATGTTCAAATTATGCAATGGTAATGGTGAAGTTTGGAGAAAGGTCCTTTACAAGCACCACTAAATGTGGTTTTGTTGGACCCACCATTAAAAAGGAGCTTGTTGCCTTTATCATGAGTTTAGCATCAGGCTTATGGGGCAGTTGTGGCCTAATGGTTAGAGAGTCGGACTTGTAACCCGAAGGTCACGGCCCTGTGTGTTTGTGTGTTTGCTACTCATTACTCCTAATGTCTGTGCACTAACTTGGATGGGATAAATACAGAGGATAAATTCTCAGTATTGGTTGCCATACTTAGCCTTCACGTCACTTCACTCTACTTTTATTAATGTTGAGAACGTTGAGTCCTTTAAAATTGGGTTCAAAATGAAACAGCTGGAAGATCTACAGGCAGAGACAAAAGCAAGCTAAGAGGATACTATAAACTGTGGAAATTAGTCTTTTAGGCGTTCATTCTCATGCCTGTATCATAAAGCGCTTCCAGAGCCTTTCTTTCTTCCTCTGTCTTCTTTCCCTCTTTTTCAAGTCTCCCAGGGGGAAGCCCAAGCTGCCTGGAGTGATTAAGCTTAATGATTACCTGATAATTATAATAGTTCTCACTTAAGCTAATTTCTCGTTGTGTTTGGGGGATGAAGGCCCAGAGCTGCATAGCCCTGCGCAGATCTCTGTTGCCTGCCAGTGTGCGTTTGAGAAGGAGAGGAAGGGTATGCATGAAAGAAAATGGAGAAATGTAGCAAGAGGGAGAGAACGTAATAGAAGATAAATTCCTCTGTCTTACGGTTCTCACTCAAGCACTGCTGATACGGTGGTATGCAATTACAGCGCTCTCTATAAAGCTGATTTTAGGGGAGAGCAACCCTGTTGTGCATTCTCATTTAAAGCTCAGCTGATATGCCTGCTGGAAAATAAGGATTGATGATAGATCTGTTTTCAGTCTGTTTGTCTAATCCAAGTGTTGTTTGGTCACTAAAGGCCTGCCCAAAATCTGATTCAGCCTCACAGTATTGATTTACAGCAATGTGTAGTGACATTTCTCTTTCCTTTGTTCCTCCCTCTCAGACTTTCATTTGATCTGTTTTCTACTCCTTTCCTTCATCTCTTAAAGCCAATGTGAAATCAAATGTTTCCCTGTTTACGTTTGTATTACATATTCCTGGTCTTTTTGCGAATGTTTCAAAATATATTACATTTTACACATCATGGCTTCCTTTTTTGTTTTAATTCACCAGTGTAGACTAGTTAATGTTAATCAACAGCTAAATAACTATTTTAGGCTATTGTTGTAGTCAACCTAGTTTTTATAAAATCTTCCCAATATAGTTAACGCAGTAATTTAATACTTGGTCATTTTAATGTATTAAAGGTTACAGAAAAAATAGTAAATAACAATCGATTAAAGAAGCATATTTAAGTGTTGAATATTATGTATATGTTGAACTGTTCCTTTAACGGTTTCTGAACATCTAATTTCAAACATTCAATTCAAAAGGTTTATTCGGTAACACTTTACTTGAAGGGGTGTACATAAGACTGACATGACACCTTCATAACCATGACATGACATATGTCATGGATATGAAGTAGGGTTTAGGCATGTTTATGACAACTGTCATTAAGTGTCTTTCGCTCAATAATGACATTTTGAATGCAAATATGACATTGTTTAAGATGTCTTTGTTATGACATCTTGACATAAACCATAACATCATAACCTGTCAGTGTCTTTGTCATGACAACTTTACATTAAATTCAATTAAACTGTCATGTGGTTGGTTTTGACATTGGCTGTCATCGGTCTATTATAACTGTGTCATGAATATTTTTCGTGACCTCAACTACAGTGGTACAAATTGAATTTGTCATTAAACAGTTATAATGGCTTCATGACAGCCAATGTCAAAACCAACCACCTGACAGTTTAATGTAATGTTAACCAATAAAGCTAAGTGGTTTCTTAAGTTTGATAATTAATCTGCTAGGTCATGTTTATGACAGGTTGTGTTGTTTTAGTAATGTCAAGTTGTCATGACAAAGACACTGGCAGGTTATGATGTATTGGTTTATGTCAAGGTGTCATAACAAAGACATCTCAAACAATGTCATATTTGCATTAAAAATGTCATAACTGAGCGAATGACACTTAATGACAGTTGTCACAAACATGCATACAACTTCCTTCATATTCATAACATGTGTCATGTCATGATTATGAAGGTGTCATGTCAGTCCTATGCACACCCCTTCAAGTAAAGTGTTACCGTTTATTCTCTAAAGATCTAAAGGAAGGCAAACGGATAGCAACACACTGAACATAGACAATACTAACAGGAACTCTGAACTGAAACAGAACAGAATATATATACAGGTGTTCATGATGGTGACTGATGAGTGCACAGCTGAACGAGATTAGTGTCCGTGACAACAAATGAGTGACAGGTATGTGATGACAAAACATAACAAGTCCAAACTAACATGAATGTGACAGAACGCCCCCTCCTGGTAGGCGTGACCTCGCGCCGTGAAGAGAAGATGAAGAGGATGGTGAAGGGATGGTTAAGGGGGCTGGCAAAGGGATGGCAAAGACAGGCAGATGAAGAGGATGAGGGGATGGCGAAGGGATGGTTAAGGGGGCTGGCAAAGGGATTGTGGTTGTGGCTAGGGCTCACTTCCGAACCCTCGAAGTCCACCAGCACTCCCTCTGCGATGGATGGCTCGGCCGGCTCACACACCTGGTCAGGCGCACACTGCTCGGGCTCCGTGGTCCTCGGTCGCTCTTGTTGGCGTGGGCTCATTCATCGCCGCGATCTCCGTCGCGCTACCTGCGGTGGGCTTAGGTCGTCGATCCTCTCTGTCTGGGTGGTTCTGGCTGGGCACTGGATGTGGAGTGGGGCTGGCGGCATCATCGACGGTGAACGCAGATCCGCAGGGCGCCAGCACCCACTCCACCTATGATGCGAAGCTCCCTCAAGGAACCTCCCCGGACAACTGTGCACGTGTGGCAGCGTTGAGTCCGACATGCACAGGCAGTTGTCCAGGAAGGTGGTCTGATCGGCGAGATCCAAAAATTCTTCTAAATGTTCCTCGAGAGAGCTTTCTCCCTGCTCAAGGCACATGAGTTTTACTGCTGGAAAGTCCATGGTGCAAGCAGGGGTGAAAACGGAACAAAAACACTGAACACGAAAACAGGGGAATAAAAAGAAAATTCTACAAACGCTTTCACTTGTTTGGTCCGGTATTCTGACACGGGTGGTTCCTGGAAGACAGATGAGGAAGACGTAGATGATTCAATTCAAAAGGTTTATTCTCTAAAGATATAACAGGAAGGCAAACAGATAGCAATACACACTGAACATAGACAATACCGGACACTGAACTGAAACAGAACTGAACATATATACAGCTGTTAATGATGGTGACTGATGAGTGCACAGCTGAATGTGATTAGTGTCCGTGACAACAAATGAGTGACGTAGGCAGGTGATGACAAAACATAGCGAGTCCAAACTAACGTGAATGTGACAACTACAGCGTTGTGGCCAATGAAATAATATTTTAGCTCAGCTGTGAATTTACACTTTGAACTTAAAGTAATTAAAGAGAAGCAATAAATAAAGATAAAAATAGACAGCTTTCTTTTGAATTGTACATCTTCATGCAACAACAAAAATTTAGCATGACCAATGTAGTCTGATTTGCAAACAAATGATTCATGACTTTAAAGAGTTCTTTGTCAACAGTGAAAAATATTCACAAATCAGACTTTAACAAATGAGTTATTATTGTGAATCGGACTCCACTGGTCAAAGAAGTTCTTGACACCTGACTTAAACACCGATCCAGAAGATTAACTCAAAATGAAGAGAAGAGTGAAGCCATATTTACACTGACAGCACGGTCATGATGAATGTTTAATTTTCTCTCACTCACCCTCATGTCGTTCCAAACCCATAAGACTTTTGTTCATCTTCGGAACACAAATGAAGGTATTTTTAATATTCTCTCATCATTTTTGTTCATCCATTGAAAATCCACGCAATCAGATTTTTCAAGCTTCAAAAAATGTATAAAGAGCATGTAAAAGTAATCCATATAAACCCAAGTCTTCTGCAGAGACATGATCGCTTTGTATGATGAACAGGTTTAACTTAGTCTTTATTTAGATATAATTATTAATCAACACACATGCATAGAGCACATCAAATATGGTAAAAAGAAGCTCAAACATGCTTGTATAACTCATGAACCAAACCTCATTGCACAAACTTCTTTTTACCATATTTAATGTGCTCTTTACACATGTGTTGATCAATGTTTATATGTGAATAAAAGGCTAAATTAAATCTGTTCATGACTGTGTCTCTTCAGAAGACTGGGAATAAACCGCTCTTGTTGTTGGATGATCAGAGAATATTAAAAATATCTTTTTTGAGGTATACTAAGCGACAAGTAAAATGTTGTTCATATTTACATGATGTTTTTCAAAAACTGAAATAAACCGTTTTCTTAAGTGCATGTTAACGGGGTCAACCTGCACTCCCACTGGTAGTCACCACTTCGCATCTCTGCTCATTTGCATAAAAATTCACAATGCATAAAATCAAGTCAATAACATTTTCTCTCATTAAATATCCTGTTTCAAAAACATGTCATATTATAGAGGAAAAATGCTTTACGAATGCCATCTGATGTTGACTTTAAACTGTTTCTCAATTGCCCTCTCTCCCTTTCTTTTGGCAGGAGGAAGCTACAAAAAGATTGGATACTATGATATGACCAAAGGCAATCTCTCTTGGTATGGGAATGACAGGTGGATAGGTGAGTACACATTTGTCTCTCTCATCTCCCATATATGCTCTTGTTTATCATTGTCTGAAGCACTCTTCTCTGTTTTAAACCCCCTTTCACAAAATCACTCACATTATTACTCTCACCATTCCTCTACATCTCTCCCAGTGTCACAGCCGCACATTCTAGGCCCCGCCCCCAAAACGACGAGAACCGCGGACGACAGACTGCTACAGGGCATTAATCAATCAGTCAGTCAAATTCTGTTTAGCATTCTGGCCATGAGGGCAGCCGCGCTGCGGAAGCTCTGCACGGCTCTACCAAAAAAAGACAAATGAATGCCATTAGAAAACCGCCAGGAGTTAATTCCAATCATAAATTGAGCAAGCGCACTGATAAAAATTGCGTGCAATTTAGAATGAGTGATGGTTTCATTTAATCTTTTTAATTGTATTTGATGACCAGTTCACGCTCAGTGTTGCTGACGGTGCACTGAGAAGATGTCAACTGACAGCTGAAAACAACACAAATCAGACGCAGCCCAGGCTGTTCCCCAGCTGCCTTCCAGCACATGCTAACCTTGACTGGACGAGTACAAATCATCCAATCAGCACGGGCGACACCGCGTGCCTCAGCTGATTGCCTTTGCCTGTTATTTAAACCCTCGTAGGCTCCGAACAGAGATGTTGATTCTTGAGCTTTGTGATAGCAGCCTGGGTTTGTTGGTTTATAATATTGGGGGCATGATGCCACATCACCGTGCTCATTATGTGACCATTTCTATGCCTAGACATTTCCCTAGATGTGCTCTCTGTGGGCTTACTCGGTTTTGAACTTGCTTATTAGCTTATTAAAAACTCACTGAAGCAGCGAGCACCATGGCAACTGAAGCACGTAGACATTGCGAAATGCGCTAATTGCCATTTTCACAAGGCGTATCGGGGGCCTTGTGATGGAACCTGTTTTTCATTTATTTACCCAGCTTGCAACTGGGAATAGTGCCCACAGCATTGTCGTATACCCCAGGTGGCTCGCACAGTCTGGCACCTTTAACTTCTGCATTAGTTGTCGATGATAGATCTCTTTAGAGGTCATCTCTTTAACAGCAACCCTTGACTGTGCCAGACTGGGAGATGCTGCGAGTCTGCCGGTGAGTTGAAAGGTCATCCTGCCCCTTTGATCGTGACAAGGCGAACAGGAATGCAAGATCATCGAAGTTAGAAAGGTTTGTTAAATGGCGACAGATGACCCTTGAGGCGGTGCTGTACCATCTGGAAATGTACGCACAATTGCCACCCAACTTTTAACCTTGCCGTCATGGTCACTGGCGCTCACGGACAGCCTATTCCAGGGAGACGGCAGCGGTGTAGACCTAAAAATAATCAGTGCTGCGATGTGCTGAAATAAAGGCCTCTTGAAGGAGAGGGTGACTTTGCTCCAGATTGGATGCCACGTGTTGACCGATCACTTGCGATTTTCTCGCTCTCTGTCTACATCTCTCGTCTGTACCCTCTGCAAAGTGAAGGTTGCATCCCTTCATCTCCCGGCTGAATGGGATCGGTTTGAATCTTTATGTTCAATTGTTTCTTGCTGTTACCCATCCACTTTACTGATCTCTCTCGTTCTCTCTCGCTCTCCCTGGTCGCCCCTGACAACCACTACATCTGCGCCTTGCTCTCTTATCGCTGTAGCAACCATTATGGATATTGGTTGCCATGGCAACATACTGTCCCGATTCCACCATCAAGGACAGGGAGAGGTATTAAACAGAATGAGCTCTCTAGCCGGCTGAATACATACGTACTCGCACATTTACAACCATTTACATTCGTCACGCACACACACACATTCATTGTTGACCTTAATTGCTTTAGAGACATCTTCAAAAATCTAAAATTTACCAACTTGATTCCTGGTCTTATTTTACAAGATTTATCAGTGCATGTAAAAAATTGTCATTTTTATAATCTTGCACCGGTTCTAATATGACTTCCCCTTTCACCAAGCCCTTTTGTTTTTCAGCCTCAAACCATCTTTTACAATCTAATCAATTACAATTTCAGAGTTTTACCAGAAATATGCCTCTTTATGGCTGTAAATGGGTTGCCAAACCCTTTTCATGTACAATCGAAACCCAACTGACTGGTAATATCTATGATCATTGAAAACATTGAGCTGTCAGTAAATGAGTTCGCTCAGCTCCACAAGGCAGCTCCACACAGATCGCAAGTTAATTTTAACACCATAGCAACTGCAACGTTAACATTCTGACCTGAAACACCATAGCAACCACTTTCTATTTCCACAAACCACTTAAACTCATGTGTCGTGCCATATCACATCTTGTGGTCTACAGTATCTTTTAAGATTGTTCCAGCATCAGTGGTGCTCCACGCTGTTTCCCAGCATCCCAGAATCCGCCAGTTGGCCATCTTCTGCCCCGAGCGGTCATGTTCAGTAGGATCTCCCACTCTCCTTTAATCAATATCAGCGAGATCCACGAGGGAGATGGCCTTACGTGAACCTCTAATTAAGACTGACAGCCGCTGCGCTCATCAGATGCTCTGGCGAGGGGTTCCGGTGGGGCCGCATGGGCAGTATGAGTCCTGTCGAGCTTGAGGACCTGGGCTTCCTAAAAAACCATCAGATCTAGAGATAGATGTAACAAGCTATATTGTCCCCAGCCAATTTGTCACTCGCAAAAGAATGTGACGCTATACCTCATGTGTGCAGCCCACCCATTGAAGGAAGCTGACCACAAATGCACCCTGTTGTCCTTTGTTGTTGCCAAATGGCCAGCCGATTACCCATCTGGAGGCTGTGAAACCGTCTGTGATGGTATCGCTTCACAGAGACCAGAGGGGGAGAAGCTGTAGTCAAATGGCAGTGAGGTGAAATTCGATAGATATCGCTCTCTCTGCAGACTTCAATCCAGTCAGTTTATCATGAGATAGAGAGAGGGAGAGAGAGAGAGAGAGAGACCGAGAGGGAGGTAAAGTGACTAGTCATAACTGGCTCAGAGAACAACAGTTCAGAGCTGCTTTCCTTTTCTGTCTCTTGCTCAATTGTTTCATTATTAAATATACATGATTATTACATAACATTTTTAGTTATACTTTTATTCACAGAAAAATTCTTTTATTCTTGTTCTTTCTCTACTGGATCTGTTTAATAAGGGCAAAAACCTTATGTAGAAAGACTAAATAGCAACAACCTCTTACGTTTTTTAAATTTTATTTATGAAAGTTATTTTAGTATAATATAAAATAATAGTCTACTAAAAAGCCAAATTTTTCTCTCCAGGTTCTGGCCCACCTGCTGATCAGACTGTGGTGATTCAGAAGTTCAGATATTTGTCACAAAAACTCTTCGTCTCAGTTTCTGTTTTCGCTGGCTTGGGCATTTTAATGGGGATCGTTTGTCTCACCTTTAACATTTACAACAGCAATGTCAGGTATGTTTAGCTGTATACTCCTGCTTGCAGGTGTGTGTGCATTTATATTGCATAACCACATTTGAGTTCAGTGCAGAGGACAGCATGCTACATGCATACAAGTATCATGGGTCACATTCACACATTCTGTGTGTGTAGAGACACGTCGGGTTCAAACATTCTGATGCATTACGAATAGCAATAGCATTGCACAGATATATTTGGACTAATTTGTGTGTGTGTTTCAGTCTTTTTATCTTATTGACATTGAAACTTTCAACTAGATTTTCTCAGCAGACAGCTTAAGCTAATACCCTGAACACTTACAAATCTTGTCGTTCATGTGGGTAAATGTGTGAGTGCGTCTATGAATCTGCATGTTTCTTTGTGTGATGATAAGACACAGGAGTGTAAGTCCTATTCCACTGTGAGAGACTAACTAAATTAGCTGAATGCGAGTTCACTACACTAGCAAAAATTACCAAAAAAGTACCATGATATTATTTTAAGTATCTTGGAACACCATATTATATAAAATATTCATTTAGAATATTAATATTAAATAAAAAAAAAAAAAAAATTTAGACTATATATATCAGTATCTTCTATGTATGGTATCCGTACCACACATAGAGCAAAAGGTTGTAAATAGAACCTTTTAGGGATTCCCATCATGAGATAATTTTATGGATTTAGTTTTAATGAATTAATTGTGTTTTAATTCATTATTTGTTTTGATTACATTTTATGAATTAAACAGCTCGTAAACATACTTAATAATTAATAACCTGTTAAACATGAAAGCATTATGCAATCATTTAAGACATTTCTCCTTATTATAGAACCTTTTTGGCATAAAGAGTTCTTTCAAATTGAGTCAATAATCCTAGGGTTCTATATAGAACCCCATTGAACCTTTTTTTCTTAGAGTGATGGCACTACCACATTACATGTCTTTGGAAATATCTGTTCCATGTATGAACCTATTGTTTGATCATACCTGTACATGTCTTTGCAAACTTCTGCATTTTGCAGATTCAGCAATATGTATGTCCATATGTTGAAGGTACATTCAAAACTCCCAGCCTTACCTGAATAACATGACGGCAGTCGGCTGTATGATGGCTCTGGCTGCTGTTTTTCCTCTGGGAATTGATGGACTGCATGTACGGAACTCCCAGTTTCCCGTGGTCTGTCAGGTAAGAGCTCAGGCAATCTGGGTAATGCTGTTTTGTCATTGATGTTATTTGTAGTAGTAGTAATTGAATTTTTAAAACCTCCTCAGACACTTTTCTTCAGAAGGGCTATAAGGAGCCGTATCAATTTTTTTGCTTGATTTAATTTTTTTTCCTGAGGCCCACTCATAATGTTAGTCAGGGTTTCTTGTATCAAAAAATATGAATTATTTCGTTTTTTCACAACCCTTTTTCACCCACTCTCAGACCCTTAAGTATTAAACACACTTGTTTTGCCTCCTTGCTTTCAGACATCTATATATATGCCCTCTTCGCTTACATTTACTTATAGGTCCCAGGCTTGCCGTCAGGTCCAATTTAGTTTGCACTTCCCCTTCCTTCAGTAACAGCATCTTAGCAAAGCCTAAGATCAGAACGATTTGTTTTTGCAACTTAATTTTAATAAATGCATTTTTGGACAGGGGAGGAAGTTTGAGATCTAACAAGTTACAGTGTGTTTACATTTAGGGATACACATTATATATCAGAACAAAAACGGTTATCAGCTATAATAGATATTAGATATTAGTTGTTTTTATTGGATATTTATTGTGCTTGCTCATTTCTGCTATTTTTACATTTAATTTACATTTGCCATCATATAACACTCATTCAAAGTTAATCATTAGAAACATTACTATTTTAATAACATTGTTAAATATAATATTTAGCAAACCTCAAAATGAATTGTTAATGTTTTACATTATAATGTTGTGATGCTTAAATTCATTAATTCATTTAAATTGCCTTTCTTTTAATGTATTTTGATAAAATAGTATATAATTTTAATATCAGTCATTTATCAATTATTTATCTACCATAACATTAGAATAATGATAAGCTTATCGATACTGGCCAGAATTTTAATATTGCTGCATCCTTATATCCATAATATACAATGAAATATTGGCTAAATTGCTTTTTTTAATTATTATTATTATTGTTGTTGTTTTTCTAGTTCCGTTTGTGGCTGCTTGGACTTGGCTTCAGTTTGGCCTATGGAAGTATGTTCACGAAGATCTGGTGGGTTCACACTGTGTTCACAAAGAAGGATGAGAAGAAAGACAAGAGAAAGGTGAGTACAGAACCAAGGTTCCACATCAGTCGGTCAAGTTAGTCATTAAGGTCAGTGACTGATGAATTAAAATAACCGAATAACCTTTGAGTGGTAACAGAACAAGCCAATGCACATTGGCGAGTGCGATTTGCATCGTAAGCCGCTCCCCCGCTTCCGGGTTATAAGGCAGCGTGCGAATACTCACATTACGTTTTTTTGCTAAGGAGCTGAGTGGACCTGGTTTTCACTCTGCACTTCAATCATTTCTCGAGAGAGTATCAGAACGAGAGTCTGTTCCTGTCTCGGTGTCAACACAGGTGTGACGTAACGTCTTTTTAAAATCATTCCACCCGTGTGTCAGCCACGATCTTTGCTTCACGTGTCTGGGCTATAAGCATGCTGAGGTGGCATTCGTTGATGAGCTGTGGAAAGATTACCATCGCGATGTTAAGATCAAGACTAAGATACCGGGAAACAGGTGGAGTCCCCTCTGCTATTCCCCAATCTGGCTTTGATGCGCACAGGGCCACTTTGGTTAATACACAGGGTGATCTGAGGATTAGGGTTTGTTTGCTGGGTGAGTCACCGCGGCCCCCCACTCCTCTTATCCATCGGAGGCTGTGGAGCTTCCTGCTGGGGTTGCTGGGCCTTCTCACGGAGGTCCCAGCATATCATTCGGGGCTCCTGCGGAGGACTGGATGGCGATTGCTGCATCAGAGGGCGGGCTAGAGTTCTCTGGGGATGAAGGCTCGGCTGCGTTGCCCCCTTCAGGGAGAGTAGCGTTGTTCGAGTCCGACCCTGAGCTGACTGCCATGATTTCCTGGGCCACCACGAGCATTGGGCTCGAGTGGAACCCTCTACTGTGTCCCGAAAGATCGTGGCTGGACGATTGGTTTCTCGTGACGGGGCATGCTGAACAGCAGCCTCCTGCTCCAGTGCCTTTCTTCCCGGAAGTACACGAGGAGGTCACAAATTCGTGGAAGGCGCCTTTTTCAGCCAGAAGCCCTTCCCTCGATGGTGGAGCGGTCAAAGGGTACGTGGAGATCGCTCAGGTGGAGCATGCTTTTTTTTCAGTGCAGCTGTGCCCTCAAAATGCTGCCATCTGGCAGGGTCGTCCGCATCTCCCATCCAAGGCCTGTAAGTTCTCGGCTGCACTTGCAGCCAAGGCTTACAGCGCCGCTGGATAGGCCGCCTCTGCCCTGCACACCATGGCCCTCCTGCAAGTATACCAGGCCAAGTCACTAAAAGAGCTGCACAAGGGTAGTTCTGACCCAGGGTTGATGCAGGAGCTGCGGCACAGACCTTTTCTACGATTTGCGTTTGAGGGACGGGCATACCAGTACAAGACCCTCCTCTTCGGCCTTTCCTTGTCACCCTGCGTCTTTACGAAGATAAAGGAGGCCGCCCTCACTCCGTTGAAGGAGGTGGGCATTCGCATCCTCAACTATCTCGACGACTGGCACATATTGGCCCAGTCGCAAGATCAGTTATGCGAACACAGGGACTTGGTGCTCACACATCTCAGCCGTTTGGGGCTTCGGGTCATCTGGGAAAAGAGCAAACTCTCCCCTGTGCAGAGAATCTCTTTTCTCGTTATGGAGTTGGACCTGTTCGACATGACAGCGTGCCTCAAAGAGCCCTTGAATTTGTTCAGGAGCAGGACAGCGGTTCCACTGAAATTATTTCAGAGGCTCCTGGGCAGGGCTTGACATTAAAGGGTTAGTTCGCCCATTTAAGACATGAAGTTGTATGCAATCCTTACCAGCACTAAAGTGCATACACACTGACCCACTCTGTTGTCACCTCCCTGGTCAGAGTTCTGGCCGCTGGAAGTTTTTCAATGAAGTACTCCCGGTTATTTTCCGGGGCCACAAAACTGTGCGTTTTTACGTGAAAAAATGATTTGCGTTTCAAAGCTTGATTAATTTACCACACAAAAAACACGCCGGTCAAAATTCATACCTCAGTTTTAATCGGCACTATTTTCGATCCATTTCTATCAATCCGCGCTGCTGTCAACGTCAACATTGCGCACGTTCAGATCAGCTGTTGATAGCGCGACTCGCTGACAACATGTCTGACTGCGAAACTTCTGATGATGAAACCAATTTTAGCACAATGTCAGACGGATCAGATGATGAAAGTAATTTTAGCACAACGACAATGTTATTGATTGCAACACAAAACCTCAATTGTGTGTGTGTTCAATCAAATAGTTTTCTCAGCAAATTGTACCAATATCCCTGTATACTGTTTTTATATTAGACATCTTTTCACGTGTTTTATAATAGAGTCTAAACATCAGCTTGTTTACCGTACAGTTTAGACATGGGATCATAAAGTTAGTAAATAGAGCTTACCCGTGGTACTGGTACAGCAAAACTCTTTAATTTCCCTTTCCTCCTTGGTTGGGGATGTAATCGTCTTCGCTGAAGTGAGCACTACACACACGAAAAAATCCTTTATTCTGGATATTTTAGCTCCCGCAGAGTAGCCGATGGCAACCAGCCAAAGCTGTCTCATAGTTATATTCGAAACAGGAAAACGATGGAATCTGAACTTTGATCCCGGCACATCGTTGTGGTCACAGCCTGGGAATTTACAAGTTCGCACCATTGTTAATTTAATACTTTTTACGTCGTTGTCAATCGATTGTGTAAACACTATGGAACAGCTGATCGGAACGCGTGATTTTTTTTTCTCCCAAACCACGAAATCCCGCCCTGCAGCCGATTTCATTGGTTTAGGTTACAGTGACGGGTAGGTTTAGGGATCAGTGTTTGGTGTAGGCAATCTGTACAGTGATTGACATGACCAATGACAACTTTAGAATCAGCTGCAGGGCGGGATTTCCGCTGAAGTGGTTTGGGGGGAAAAAAATCACGCGATCGGAACGTGCGCACTGTTGACGTTGACAGCAGCGCGGATTGATAGAAATGGATCGAAAATAGTGCCGGTATGAATTTTGACCAGCGTGTTTTTTGTGTGGTAAATTAATCAAGCTTTGAAACGCAAAGCATTTTTTCACGTAAAAACGCACAGTTTTGTGACCCCGGAAAATAACCGGGAGTACTTTATTGAAAAACTTCCAGCGGCCAGAACTCTGACCAGGGAGGTGACAACAGAGTGGGTCAGTGTGTATGCACTATAGTGCTGGTAAGGATTGCATACAACTTCATGTCTTAAATGGGCGAACTAACCCTTTAACTTTTTTGCTCACCAGCCACTGTGGCTAGTGGTTTTCCAAAGTTACTAGCCACTCAGCATTTTCACTGGCCACAATTTGGACACAATAGGGGAATAACTACCATATAGATATTTTTAATAGCATCTCATAATTTGGCAGCTGGTATATTAGGCTACTGTCACTTTAAGACCTGACGTACGGACCCATTATACTGTTTTATATAGCCAATATACTTTATGTGCACACACTTTGGGTGTGAGCACAAAATCTGCAGGAATGAGTAAAATTGTGCTCAATACGCGCAATCCCTCGCCAGAATTCAAGTCCTGTACCACCAACAATATTCATCCGGAGCAAATAAAACAAGTGAGTAAACGGGTTGGTGTGTCAACTCGCTGTCGGAGAGATTAGAGAGCGAGAACACGCAGCTGGTATCTTTTGAATATATTCTGCGGAAGAGTTTCAGATATTTCAGTATCAATATGTATCGAAAAATCAATATTAATGCCAACACTAGATTGCACTTAGTTTATTTAGATGCCTTTTTAAAAGACTACAATTGAAAAATGTATATTATATAAAATTCAACCCGCCAAACTAGTTAGTAGGAGTGACTGCGTTACACGCCAACGCTGAAATCCACCCGCATTTGGCGGGTTGGCGTGTGTTAATGTCAAGCCCTGTTCCTGGGGCATATGGCATCCGCAGCCGCTGTCAAGCCGCTCGGATTGCTTCATATGAGACCGCTTCAGCTCTGGCTTCAGGACCGGGTCCCGAGATTGGCATGGCACCGTGGCACACACAGAGTGGAAATAACTCCTGTTTGTCGTGGGAGTTTCAGCCCATGGTCGGACCTCGTTTTTCTACAGGCAGGTGTTCCCCTTGTACAAGTGTCCAGGCATGTTGTCTCAACAGAGGCCTCCAGCACGGGCTGGGGTGTTAAATGCGATGGACAGGACCCCACCTGAAGTGGCATATCAATTGCCTCGAGTTGCTTGCAGTACACCTTGCCCTGCGCCAGTTTCTGCCGTCGCTGCGGGGCAGGCATGTGCTGGTCTGGACGGACAACACATTGAGAGTTGCGTACATCAACCGCAAGGGTGGTCTACACTTCCGTTGTATGTCTCAACTCGCCAGCCATCTCCTCCTGTGGAGTCACAAGAGACTCAGGTCGCTTCGTGCCATCTACATCCCGGGCGAGCTCAATTGTGTGGCCGATGAGCTCTCACGACAGCATACGTCTAGGGAGGAGTGGCGACTCAACCCCAGGCAGTCCAGCTGAATTGGGAACTCTTCGGGGTCACTCAGGTAGACTTGTTCGTGACCTCAGAGACAACCCACTGCCAGTGGTTCTATTCCCTGACCAAGGGGGACCCTTGGCACAGAAGCACTGGCACACAGCTGGCCCTGGCGCCTATGCAAGTATGCGTTTCCTCTAGTGAGCCTGCTCGCACTGGTCAGGGAGGACAAGGAGCAGGTCTTGATGGTTGAGCCGTACTGGCCCAACCGGATCTGGTTCCCAGAACTCATGCTCGTCTTGACAGCCCCTCCCTGGTGGATTCCCCTGAGGAACGATCTGCTTTCTCAGGGACGGGGCACCAGGTGGCACCCGACTTAAGTGGACTTAAATGGCTTACCTCCAACGATAGTAGACACTATCACTTCAGCTAGAGCCCCCTCTACGAGGCCCCCTCTAATTTGTTGATTAGTGTTCTTCCCGCAGGGAAGGCCCCCGTAGATGCATGTCAGTGTCATGCTTTCTTTCCTGCAAGACGGGGTTGAGCAGAGGCTGTCTCCCTCCACCCTGAAACTGTATGTTGCCGCTATTGCC